TCACCATGTTGCTCAGGCTGGTCTTGAACTCCTAGGCTCAAGCCATCCTCCCACTTTGGTCTCCCAAAGTGCTGGCCCAAATTACAGGCCTGAGCCACCATATCTGACCTTTTTTGAACTCCAGCCTGTTACTCCCCTACAGATAGATCATACCACAACCTGCTTGGGCTGTGAGTGGCTCACCTGAAACAATCCCTTTGTGCCGCAAGTCCCTGGCTCAGGGACTTAACCTTAACCACTCAAATCACCTGGGGATTTTTTTTTTTTTTAGATAGAGTCTTGTTCTGTTGCCCAGGCTGGAGTGCAGTGGCACGATCTCGGCTCCCTAAAACCTCTGCCTCTCTCAGGTTCAAGCAGTTCTCCTGCTTCAGCCTCCCAATTAGCTGGGATTGCAGGCACCCGCCACCATTCCCAGTTAATTTTTTGTGTTTTTAGTAGAGACGAGGTTTCACCATGTTGGTCAGGCTGGTCTTGAACTCCTTACCTCAGGTGATCCACCTTCCTGAGCCTCGCAAAGTGCTGGGATTACAGGTGTGAGCCACCATGCCCACCCCACCCGGGGATTTAAGATGCAGATTTCTGGGTCTGGGATGGGGCTTACAAGTGATACAGTTCCCACAAATGCTCAGGTGAGACCAATGTTCACAGACCACACTTAGAGTATCAAAGGCCTTCCTGCTCTCAGTAGGTCCAAAGCTACCCAAACATTGCTCTGAATGCACTATAGACATGTCTATACCCAAGTCAACATGCTGGAGCCCCTTGCCCTCAGCCAGACAGCAGGCCAGAGATAAGCGCCATGCCAGTTGCACCTGAGCATCTTTCAGCTTTCAGTTTATGCCTAATCCTGCTCAGTAGGTGCCACCCCATGTGGCCCACAAGGACTGGCAGGCTCATAGCAAGTAGCCGGCCAGGCTGGGATGCCACAGTGAAAGTGAACTTCCCCGAATGAGAATGGCTTGAGTTTGGGGCAAGGCTGGAGCCAGCTACTGTGGGAGGCTTCTCATCCCTCAGGGGTACCATAAACACCTTCCCCAAAGAAGGTGGCACAAGCTCCCTGGGTAGCCCCCTTGGGGCACCATTCCCTTTCTAAGTACTCCTAGGGACTATGGCCAAAACCTGGGTGGAGGGAAGCAGCCTGTTTAGGGAAAGTGACAAAGGTGGGGGGAGGTTGAGAAGCAGCTCCCCTCAGTGACAGTGAGGCCTCACATCTATAATCCCAGGGCTTTTGGAGGCCAAAAGGATCACATGAGGCCAGGAGTTCGAGGCCAGCTTGAACCAGTTCCTACCAAAAATACAATAAGCTGGGCATAGTGGTTCATGCCTGTAGTCCCAGCAACTCAGGAGGCTCAGGCAGGAGGATTACTGGAGACCAGGAGTTCCAGGTTGCAGTGAGCTATGATTCTACTACTGCACTCCAGCCTGGGCAACAGAGCCAGACCCTTCCCTCTCAAGAGGGACAAATCAAAACAAACCCAAAATCAAAGCAGTTTCTCAGCCTTCCTGAGGCCTCCTACCCCCAAAGCAAAAGTGCCTACCTCAGAGCCACCTCAGGACCACTAGCTCATGACATGGGGCTGCCTCCTGGAATGGCTTAGGGTACCAGTCCCCCTTGCTACAGCATTGACAAATTCATACCAACATGCCCTGAGAATAGCTTCAAGCCCAATGTGTCAGCTAAGACCAGGTAGAAGGAGAGCTCCCATCACTGCCCTACCGGGAGGGCCCAATAATGACTGGCCTTCTGGCCTCTAGCATCTGAACAGAGCTGGCTGCCTGCTTGCCTCGGAGAAAGGGGCCTGGAAGCTCCCCTCTCCCGTCTCCCGTCTCCCATGTCTAGAGTCAAATCCATGGGGGCCAGAGATACAAGATTCTTTGCTAATCTAGAAGTAAGGTGGGCCCAGCCAGACTGACCTTCATCTAAGTTTCCATGTTGGTTCCCATGGAGGTGATAGATCATAGTTGTCCGCAAGGACATGAACCCTACCCTGTTTACACTAGCGGCACAGTAGTGCTTGCTGGACTGTGCTATGTGAGTGCACGGGGCTGGTGGTATAGTCTTCCCCACCCGACACAGTCAGTACTAATTCTGATCTTCTAATCACACCACAACCAGATACTGCTTTCTTCTTTTATTGGGAAACAGACACAGGGCGGGAGGCAGTGCGCCACCTCCTGGTGAAAACCAGGATAACAGCGGTCAGAGTCAGAGATGCCACCACGGCCAGGCCTATGCCCAGCAGCAGCACGGAGGTGTCAGCCGGCAAGGCCCACTGCTCTACTTCATAGTCAGCACTCCTGTCCAGGAAGATCAGTGGCCCCACGGTGATATCTGCTTCTTCTGTCACTGTAGAAGGAGAACAAACACCCGGAGGTCATCTTAGTCCCTAACCAGGAATCAGGTTGGAGGTTTATTCTGCCTCAGTGGGCTGAACTAATATGTTGTCTTTTTTGTGTGTGTTAACAAAGTTCATAGACAAAAAAAGACAGCTTTCTCGGCTAGGTATGATGGCTCATGCCTGTAATCCCAGCACTTTGAGAGGCTGAGGCAGGCAGATACACCTGAGGTCAGATGTTTGAGGCCAGCCTGGCCAACATGGCAAGATCCCCATCTCTACTAAAAATAAAGTTAGCTGGGCATGGTGGCACATGCCTGTAGTCTCAGCTACTTGGGAGACTGAGGCAGACTAGCTTGAACCCGGGAGGCAGAGGTTTCAGTGAGCAGAGATCATGCCACAGTACTCCAGCCTGGGCAATAGAGCGAGACTCCATCGTGAGGGGCAGGGCAGGGGGAAGGAAAGTTTTCTCATACAGAGAAAGTAGGTCACCCACAAGAGGGATTTCCCTAGTATATCAGGTCTTTTTTGTAGAGACAGGGTCTTGCTATGTTGCCCAGGCTGGTCAAGAACTCCCAGGCTCAAGTGATTTCTCCAGCCTCAGCCTCCCCAAGTGCTGGGATTGTAGGCATGACCCAGCATTCTGGCCAGATTATTATTTTTTGAGACAGTTTTGTTCTTGTTGCCCAGGCTGGAGTACAATGGCACAATCTCGGCTCACCTCAACCTCCACCTCCCAGGTTCAAGCAATTCTCCTGCCTCAGCCTCCCAAGTAGCTGGGATTACAGGCATGCACCACTACGCCCGGCTAATTTTGTATTTTTAGTAGAGATGGGGTTTCTCCATGTTAGTCAGGCTGGTCTCGAACTCCTGACCTCAGGTGACCTGTCTGCCTTGGCCCCTCAAAGTGCTGAAATTACAGGCGTGAACCACTGTGCCCAGCCAGATTATCTTAACAGCTGCTATATTTCCCCTACATGCCTAATGATGTCTCAGTAGAAGCCTAGGATGACAGCAGAGTTACCCTGGCTGCCACTGAGGTGGCGGGCTGACAGCCCTTCCTGCTTAGCCCCAGGATTTGTGTTAGGGAAAGGTAGCTGCAGGCCTAGGAGCAAACAGCTTTAATGAAGGACAAGGGAAAAGACCATCACCCTGAAATGACAGCAGATACCCTCAACTGAGTAGGGGATGATGAACAGCCTCTTGGCCGTCCTGTGACATACCATGCCTGCGGTTACGAGAAGCAGACCTGGACCACTGGCTCACAACATGGGGCTGCCTCCTGGAATGGCTTGGAGTGCCACAGTCACCCTTGCTACAGCATTGACAGATGTCAGCTGGGCCTTCCACTGGGAACCAGCTGAGATGAAAGACAAGCAGCTTAGATTTGTTGCCTGCAGGAAGCAGTTTGCTGATAATACATTGGGGGAAATAGACAAGGCATCGCCGATTCAGTTTCTACCCCAGTCATGGGGCACCTGGCCTCCTCACCTGTTGGAAGACTTGCTGAAGGAACAGGCTTTGTTGAGTTCGTCTGGTTCCTGCTCAGCTGGGATGGCCTTCAGGTGGCAGGTGATGTATATCTGCAAAAGGAATAACAGCTATTTCCAGGCTGAGTTCCAAGCTGTGCCTGGGAGTTTAACATGCCAGTTTCTCATATAACCCTTAACCCTTTAAAGAGGGAGAAGGGGCCAGGCACAATGACACACATACCTATACTCCCAGCACTTTGGGAGGCCGAGGCGGGTGGATCACCTGAGGTCAGGAGTTCGAGACCAATCTGGCCAACATGGTGAAACCCCATCTCTACTAAAAATACAAAGTTAGCCGGGCGTGGTCATGGGTACCTGTAGTCCCAGCTACTTGGGAGGCTGAGGCAGGAGAATCTCTGGAACCTGGGAGGCAGAAGTTGCAGTGAGCCGAGATCATGCCACTGCACTCCAGCCTGGCTGGCAGAGTAAGACTCTGTCTCATAAAATAAAGAGGGGGAAGGAAGAGCCTCGTCTCTAAGATGGTCTAAAGGTTCACTTACCCAATGTTAGAGCAAGTAGCAACTAATTTTAGACTGAAATCCACCATTTATCATTCCCCGAATCTTTTCCAAACTTACCCAATCATTGAGCGTGCTTGACCCTGGGCTTCTGAGACAGGGTCTGTCACCCAGGCAGGAGTACAATAGCATGATCATGACTCACTATAGCCTTGACCTCCCGGGCTCGAGGATCCTCCCACCTCAGCCTCATGAGCAGTTGGAATTATGAGTACACGCCACCACACCTGGCTAATTTTGGATTTTTTTTGCAGAGATGAGGTTTTGCCGTGTTGCCCAAGATGACTTCAAACTCCTGGGCTCAAGTGATCTGCCCGCCTCAGCCTCCCAAAGTACTGAGATTACAGGTATGAGCTACTGCGCCTGGCCAGACTTAAGAGTGCGATGGCTCACTCCTTGGGCAAGCTTCCCCAGGCTTTTCTTCCTCGCACATGCCTCTGCTATTAGTCAAGCCTAGGTCAGCCTCCTTTCACCTGTAAGGGATATGATGACCAGAAGACTCACCAGGCTGACACCCTGACAGTCCTAGCCTCTGGGACATGTTTACCCACATTTTTAGACAAGTATGAGAGAATGAACCCAATCTGAGCTCCTGCTGGGAGCTGAACGACCCCCTACCCAGGGAATAGTCAACTGCCCTGTAAGCCACCCCCTTTTTCTTTTTTTTTTTTGAGATGAAGTCTCACTCTGTAGCCCAGGCTAGAGTACAGTGGTACAATCTCAGCTCACTGCAGCCTCTACTGCCTGGGTTCAAGCGATTCTCTTGCCTCAGCCTCCCAAGTAGATGGAATTACAGGCACCCACCACCACACCAGGCTAGTTTTTGTATTTGTAGTAGAGATGGGGTTTCACCCTATTAGACAGGCAGGTCTTGAACTCCTGGCCTCAAGTGATCCACCTGCCCTGGCCTCACAAAGTACTGGGATTATAGGCGTGAGCCACCGTACTTGGCCAAGCCTTCTCATCTTTGGCTGACATTCCATCCTGCCACTGGGGTTAGGGGCCATTTTGACAGAGCCAGGACTCAGTCTAGCCTTGGCCCATCCCCAGGTCAGTTTCCCTTCATATTCCAGGCAGGGATGAAATTCCTCCCTGCTCAACCTCAGGCAGAACATGGCAATTCTGCCACCGTCTAGCAGAAGCCCCAGAGCCACAAGCCTCAGTCACCACCTAGTGGCCAAGCATACCAGCAGGGAAACTTGAAACCATGTAAATTCAGACTTTTAGAAACAAGCCAGTTTAGCAGTTCTCCAGCTGCCCATCTTAGCCACCTGCCCCGCAAGTAAGAAGCTTCCAAAGCCCTGTAGTCTGTTCCAGAAAGGAAATGTACTTTCATCCTTAGCTTCTTCCTAGTATGTTTTTCTGGTGCTAACTGGAGTCTAAGATCCCAGGGTAGTACCCCTATAGCGGCCTTTCAGAAGCAGGGTCTAGGCTGGGCATGGTGGCTCACACCTATAATCCCAGCACTTTGGGAGGCCATGGTGGGTGGATCACCTGAGGTCAGGAGTTTGAGACCAGCCTGGCCAACATGGTGAAACCCCATCTCTACTAAAAAAAAATATATATATATACAAAAATTAGCTGGGCATGGTGGCAGGTACCTATAAGTCCCAGCTACTTGGGAGGCTGGGGCAGGAGAATTGAACCCGGGAGATGGGAAGTTGCAGTGAGCTGAGATCACGCCATTGCACTCTAGCCTGGGCAGCAAGAGTGAAATTCTACCTCAAAAAAAAAAAAAAAAAAAAAAAAA